ATGTGTTCATGAGAATGCTGAAAGCCCAATTTAATTTTGAAGTGTAATTGTCGATTTTCTTTATTTTCCATGTAATTTTTTGATAAATGTGAGTGGTGCAAAGACATTTTAAGAATAATATTTGTTGCAGAGAATGCAGGAAATGCGATTAACATTGCTATTACACAGTTATTCAATTCCATTCATTCCGTATCATTCATTTTAACAAGATATTCAAGAAACCAAGTTCAGGTACCATAGAAATCTATATATTAATATAATTAGATATCTCTCAAACCCATCAAATGATGTGACAAATGAATGTGTGCATAAATTATCATATAGTGTTGTTTTCAAAATGGCAGACAACTGTTCAACATTTTTACAAATTTTCTCAAAAACTGAATGCGATAGGGATGTGAAATTATAAAATTAAATATTCCATTGGTAAGTTGAATAGATGTAGGGAATAAAAATTTTGGCTGCAAATGTCCTTTAATCTAAGACAATTTCACTTGGAAAGGAAGCACGGTGGAGCATATTGGGTTTACTCAGACGTAAGAAGTCTGGATTAAAAAATCAGAGACAAGAATTAAGTCACTGCAATTGACCAATTCAGCCTTATATGCTTATAACTCATTTCAATGTTTATTGATACCTTTAAAAGTTGTGGTTTTGTGTTAGAACACAATATCATAGGTGGCCACAATGCAACGAGTTCTAATAATTATTGCAAATTTAAATCTACATCTCTCAAAGTATAATAAATAAACAATGAAATGAGTGAATGCACACAAGGTTGAAGTGGTCTATCAGACAAAAGATTTCATTATCGATGCTTTCAATTTTTGGTGAAGATGAATTGTTTGATGTACAATATGGATATTACTTGAAAAACAGTATCTCAAAATCTTAATGAGATTCTTAATTCATGATTTAGCTGGTACCCCCTGGTAGCTGACTTTCTCAAGTAAAGGGTATACATCATCATTCAGAAGCATACCTGGAATGTCACCATTTGCAGCACCCTGTAGCTAAAAACATAATACTGTGTATGATTAATGGGGATATTACATGTGCAAAATGTTCTCTCATTTTATTTTTTGTATGCCCTCACTTTTCACAACGTTCTCTATGAGGACCTGAATTCACCTGACAAACAGATAATTCCCACATGTTAGGTGCCTGTTTTCCCTGCATAAAGGACATTACCATTATTTATCTAGCGAGTTTGTAATCTTTCCTGGTTAATGACATGGTTTATTGGATTGGTTTTCCATCTGGAAAAAGTTGTCTCTCTGCATAATTATGATTATGATCTTTATTGAGATATGCTTTTTCACATAAAGTGATTTTCAAAAAGAATCTCCAGAGTCACTAAAAATTACACAATCATAAAACGAGAAATGATAGTTTATATCTATCTATATTTACACTTAAAATAATCTAATCTAATTTTAAAAGGTTATGTTTGAAAATAGCAACATTTTCTGATTGCTTAATGTCTCTATATAGCGAGTTAAAATCGTTTACAGCCTGAAAAGCAGTCCTTTGTTGACCCCATTGCCTTTTAGCAATAGGGACTCTAAGTTTATCCTTATTCCTAGTATTGTATAAGGGGCGGATCTAGACCATATCAACTGTATCAAATAATACAGTCAGATTTTGCCGAATATAATATCTTTGGACTGTAAGAATTCCTATATTAATATTTATAAATGCTTTTATTTCATGATTTTACATCATTTGGAAATCGTTTTTTCGCTTCACAAGCTGAAAAGCGGTTACGGAGCATGTTTTGGCATTTCGCATTCGCCAGCCTAGGGTTCACTTCTACCAGCTACCAAGCCCGCTTTTTGGGAGTTTGCTTCTTCGTTCAACTCAATAACATAACTCAGAAAGACATCGTGGTAGCAGTTGAGATAAAAATAGAACATTTTTGATACAGTCACCGGGGAGTATAAGCTATATTTAGACCGTTCGACTGTATCAAACCAATCAGAATCGCGATCACTGATACAGTTTGATACAGTCAGATGCTGAGTCAGCTACATTGCTCTATTTGAACGATGTCCAACATTCCACGCAAAAGGCGCAAGTCTCATTACAAGCAAACTAAGTCTATATATACGCAGTTTATCTGCATGGCCAGAAATTTGAGACATGCGCCTGCATAGCAGCGGTTTTCTGTGTGAAAATACGATGCGCCCGCCGGCATTTTTGCAGCGGCAGTTAGCAAGAGAAAATAAAAAATGGCGACCACGGGTGAGAGAATGCGTTTTAAACCTGTCGATTACAAGCAGTTAAATTCACGTTCGTCCGTTGTTTTATACAACACTCTTCCAAAGAAAAGAAAGGAAAAGTATTACTCAGTCGAAAGGATCATTGAGAGAAGAAAACTATCTCGTGTAAGCTTATTATTTAAATTACTTTTACCTGATGTTTTATCTTGAGAGTTTAACTACATATTTCAGGAGCGCAAACAGTTTGATAATAGTTCCGCATCATTCATATTTCCTTTTGAGAGTGCTGTTTTCACGTTTTGTGACCATGAATAGTACACAAATATGGTACCCACTATTATTAAACTATTTGCGCCCTTGACTGCACTATAAACTTTTCTTCATATTTTAATAATACTATCGATGGTTTATATTAATATTACATATCATAGATGATTTTTTTCCTTTCACCATTTGAAAACTTAATCATAATGTGTTGCATTCTTTTAGGGCTACTGTGAATATCTTATAAAATGGAAAGGGTGGCCCTTTCACAGTTGCTCCTGGGAACTATCGGACCATTTAACTCCAGCTCTTTTGAGGTAATTATCTATCCCATATAGTTTTTTTTTTGGTGTGAGAGTTTTGTGTGTTTATTTTTTGGTAGTAAGAGCTGTTAAATAATATCTAGATGGTGTAACTTACACCTTTGTTTCTTGAATCTAGGAGTTATGAGCAACCCTTAAAACCGAATCAGGAAAGATTGGAAAGAGCCTGCCAAGATTTCACTCATGCAGTTTCCTCAAGTTTAAAATCTAAGTCTTTTGCAGCTGTTTATGCGAGCATGGAGTTGGATGTGTGGAGATATGTCATGTTTGGCAAAGGTATACCATCGCAGCACAAGGGTCATATGTTATATGAAAAGGAGGATTTTTGCCGATTGCCTGGCTTGTTGGATAATTGGTATTATAGTATGAATCAACATGGTGAAAGCATTAAAGTGGACTTTCCCATCAAGGTGAAACCAGTCCTAACATGGGCAAACTCTAACTTTTTTGCCAAGAATAATAAATTACAAGTGGCACCAAAAATACCACTCAAAAAAATTTCAATTTCTTTTGCAAAAGCTGCTTGCGGCATAAATAACATATAGATCTTTATTACATAGATAAACTTAAGTTATTTACTTTGCTTAAAATAGTTATGTTGTCGTTTGACTTGGACAAACTCCTAGTTTAATAAATTGCAAGAGACAGCAAAAATGCCTCTTGCTTAAAGCTGTGTTAAACAGTGCAATTTTTTTGCAACTTGCAATGCAATTCTACTTTTGAGAGCTGTAAATATGTGTTTATTACACTCCACTTGATGTTTTCTTATGTATCAGTCAATTCCAACTGCGCTCATCCCCCCCCCGGGCCTTGACCAGAGTTTAAACCCGCGCTGGCGGGAATTTAATGCGAACCTGAGCCTGCCCCGTCAGGCATTTGACTCGGTTCGCGGTCCCACAAAATTGGTTAGCGGTTTCACGCAAACAAATTTGTTATCATGTAGAGCATCTTTACACATACTTGTCGTTAATTTTAATAGTTTATTAGTGCAAAGTTTGAGAAACTTTGCAGTATTGTGATGAGTGGCGAAAATTCAAACGAGTCAGTAAGTCAGTCAGACAGTCAGTCAGTCAGTCAGTCATAGTGTAAACTTTACGGGGGGTAGATTGATTTATGCATATAGTACCTTTTTGTATATGATCAGTAATTTAAAGTTTTTAAATCAGTTTAACTTGCTTTATTTATTAATTCTCTACATCCCTTTTGCTAAGTTCACCAAAATATTGAGGAATTTTGACCGTTACTGTAAATTTTGAAGCATTGCTTTTCCGCGGTTTGGGTTTTGTTTCAAAGGGATTTGCGCAGATTTACCCCCCGGAACACCCGATTTTTTCCTATACGTCGCAACTGCGCATGTGCCGTCGAGCCTTCAACATTATTCATGATGTAAAGAAATGAGGAGCGACGAGCATTGCTTCAAAACATTCCGGGCGTAAAAATCGTGCAATTCTTTGAGAATCTACGCAATTTATCAACTTATGTTATGAATTACGAGCATTCAATTCGACACAAATATAATTTGGAAGGTTAATTTCATAAATAGAGCTAAGAGGTTAGGAAGAAACGACGCTGTGTTGTTTATGTGTTGGATTTCAAAATACTTTAGAATAGTGTGCTGCCATGCTCATATTACATTGATTTGGACTGCAAAACTATATGATACATGTCTTGTAGTCTTGGACGTTTCTAACTCTTGTCGTGATGCCCAAATCTTTTAAACGGCTTCGAAGCTCTGTGGCAGTAAGAGCAGATTGGTCTTCGACATCTTCTGCCTGGGCAGTTTGATTACAAATTTGTGCACGTTTGCTTCGACTTTCCCGGATTGTTGTCGACCAGTACTCCTCTGCTTTTTTCTTATACGGTCTTGGTGTCCTTCGTACATTGCTCAAAAGCCTTAATCTTTCCTCAGCCAACAGGACATCTTTCGCGGCATCCCATTTATTAGACTTTTCTAAGTGAACTCTTCTACAATCGTCGTTAAGTTTTTCGACACCTATTGATAAGAAAACTATAGTCACATTTTTTTGTGGGAAACAGCTTAAGATGATAATATAATCACTTATAGTATGTACAGACAATACATTTACTGTACCTTGTCCAGAAAAATGTCGAATGCCTTGATGAATCCTCATGAATTTTGGTGCATGATAAACCATCGCATGCATGTAAGGCGTGATGTTTGTTTTGCCATAGCCCTGCAGCTTTCCAGTCAAGGATAAGAACAGTGTAATCCAAGCTTGTGCCTGGCATTATTAAAAATGAATATTAGATTGCTAGATATTAATTAAAGTTGAAGGATCCTCTAAATAACGAAAGTTTTAACTACTTTAACCCTTAACCTTCAATGCACCCCAGTGTGCTCTACTTATTTTTTTACAAATGCCAGATGAGTTTACTTGTCAATGAGGAAGCTCTGGGGCTGAATGGGTAAACCCAACCCATTAAGCCTCAATGTGCCCCAGTTCGCCCTGCCTATTTTTTCTTTGACTTGACTTGTCAATGCTCTGAAGATTATTGGTTAAAAATGTAAATTGAAGGTAACTACTCACCAATGCATACACGCACTGTACCTGCCAACCTACTAATGCCTACCTATCTAACTAGACCTGATATAGCTACCTTAGCAAAATAAATATCGACATCTGCATCTGTCAAATTCTGCCTCTGTATATAATCCTTGTAGAGATGGTTAAAATCCTATTGAATAACATACATTAAAAACTAATTAATAATTCAGGAAGAAATTTCAAAAGAAATGCATGTTTAACCAGTGTCTTTATATGTGACAAAGAACTGCTTAAAATGCAATGTTCAATTTCTCAGTGAGTAGAAATTTGTTTTTGAAAATAATTTCGGCAGTGCCCTGATCTAACTCAGATGTTTTTAAGCCATTTACAAAACTTGTAGTTTGTGCTTTATTCACACTCCGTTACACGTCGTGTTTTATATGTCAAAAAGTGCTCCTGCTCGTTTTGTAGATGGTACTTACAGTTTGGCCTACTTTTAACAAGGATTCAGTTATGCTGATTATGATTTCTAATTTCTTGTTGAAAGAGATGATGCAGAATGAGATGCAATGCACTCCAATGTGCTGTACAAATTGTTCCTACTCTTGCTCTAATGCTGGATAATATACCTCCCCTGAAGACCCCCCCCCCGCATTCAATGTAGCCACAGGAAATCTCAAAACAACATCTGTTGCAACATTGAAATTGGAGTGGGATGTTTGAACAGTTTTGTCCAAGATTTTAGTTGATTGGTCATTATGACAATTTCACCCAATAGTTAAATGACAAGAACTAAAATCCAAAAAAAAAAACATTTAGTATTGATAGCTACCTTCCAAATCTTAATAACGACAGAGCTGGTTGAATTACCGATAACACCATCTAACTTCATGGGTAATTTTTCCAATAGAATTTTCCGATCGGTTCCCATTAGGCTGGTGAAGTCGTAAACTCCACTCCCTCTACCATCAGCATCAAGTTTTTCCCACACGGAAAATGAGACTCCACAACTTCGAATAGTATCAACTAGGTTTTGAAGATTTAGTGACTGCCTATCACGTGGTGCTTTGTTACGATTTTCTTTGTAATCCCTCTGCAAAGCTTCTTTCACCAAATTATCTAAAAGCTTGTCTGTGAAGATGAATAGTAAAACCGTAGTGAATGGAGCAAGGTGGTTTGGAAAATCATTAGAATATCAATATAATTCATTATCCATGTTAGTCAAACTTTATTCATAAATCTGGTCCTTCACCATCGCATGTGTATTGTATTCTTACCAAATCCAGCAATAACAATTTTCAATTTACCGCCTATTGTTTGAGTCACGGATAGGTAATTAACTTTCTTAATACATTGCCATTGGTTAGTTGGGCAAAAACAACACACACGTGACGGTGAAGGACCAGATTTATAAAAAAAGTTTGACTAACACAGATAATGAGTTATATTGTTATTCCAATTATGAGTTTCCAAACCATCTCGCTCCATTAACTATGGTAAAACATTCTGCTAGATGCTTGAATTTAAGCTTCGGTACACAAGGGGATATGTTGCGGGGGCAAATTTCATTGACATTGTGCTTCCTATGCACAAAACTTGCTGCATGGATAATTTTTTTGTTCCCGGTTCATCTCCCATGTAATTAAATTGCATGCTATACCATAATTTTAAACAGTTTAAATTGTACCTGTAATTCGCAACATCAAATGGAGCTCATCCAGGATAATGTTCTCTACAGGAATATTGAGAAGAGGAGGCCTTTCACAGGAATATTCATGTTTCAAGCAGCACGCTCTGATGTCATCCAAAGTCCGTCGAATGTTCTCTTCCCAATAAAAATTTTCAGGCTTTGCCATATCATATCTGTTAGGTAAAGGAGAACACATGCATGAATAATTAACATTTTAGATGGGGCGGGGGGGGGGGGGCACAGGTTTCTGGTTGCCAGGAATTGACTGTAGTCCTAGTACAGCTACTCCTACATTTAGTATATATACATAACTTAATAGCTTCAAAATCTTGCACCAAATACAAGCGTAATCAGATGTTGCTCCCTTCATGCCGAGCAACAGCAACAGGAACTGTGTGTACAAAAAAAGAAAGTTTGTTAACAAAATAATAACGTAAAAAACAATGCCTCCGTGCGTTTGCTCAAAGTACCTTGTAATCTGAACCGAGAAACATCTCTACAGGTACATGTTTCTCATTAATATCCACAAAGCCCATGTCAACAATCTTGTTCACATCATCAAAAATCCTTGCACAGGATTCCTTCAAAATATCGTAGGATTCTTTCCCCTTGATAACTGCAACCGTGTGATTTTCTGGAATGATCAAGGGAAGTATAATTGGTTGCTTTATAATAACCAGATATCACAACAAGCCACATAATAATATAAGATGAATTAGCCCATTAAGCCGCATAGCTCCCCACTGACGAGTAAAATTGTCTGCTGTTGCACAAGTAAAAAAATAAGTAGGGTGCACTGGGGTGCATTGCCACTTAATGGGTTAAACTCTCACCTTTGGAAGATAGTACAGCTTCACCTTCATTCAGTATCGAGAATGAAAGTATTATGAACCCTGTGATCCTGGACATTTTGGCACCGTCACCACTCAATTTTATTTTGTATTTTGTTGGTATATCTTTCCCTTCAAGCACACACTTGTTCATCTGCAAATATCAAATGTTGTATATATACTTGTAACTGAAAATACAGCTGTACAGTAAACTAGCTATCAAAGTACTGAACACTAATAGCCTTTTTTAGTTATGTACAGTACATTGAAGATGATTTCTTGGCCTGTGAGGGAGCCTTGTCAAACATTCATGAAAGTCAATGCATCCTTAGTCAAATATTAAGCATTTGTAGAATATATAATTTTTTGAAAGGGTCTATCATAAATTAAAACTGCATTTATTTTGGTACTACAGGGTGCATAAAAAAGTAGACATTTTTTAAATTGATCTCAATTTTCTAAAATAGCTCCAAAATCCTAAAGTTCAATTTTCAGAGTCGAGACAGTGTTTTTCTCAACAGATTGAAATTGGCTTGTGCACAAAATTTAAACGCCTCAAAGTTATTTTGAGTTATTAGATGGAAAATCTCTTTCAATTGGTTTTATATTGCTGCTCAGGGTGGCAATACAAATTTGAAATCACTATATACATTACCATTATCATTTTTTTAGAAATTGATTGTTTTCACCGAGTCTATAAACTCGAACAATTTCCATTGTCACCCCAGGGATGTTGGTCTGGCTATGCCACTGACCTTCGGTCACCTCTCTAGGGCCAGTATCTTTATTTGTCTTCATAAAAGGGGGGGGGGTGATATTCCTTAAAATGGAGGAAATTTCCTAAGAATAACATCCTCCTGGCAGGTGAACACTGTGGGCCATATTTAGTTCAGACATGTAATAGCAAAAGTATATGCAAGAACTACATATACTGTTTAAGAGAATAAACTTATTAACACTAGCAATTGGCAAAACGGGCCTGGCTTGCCGTGGGGGAAAAATTATGGCAGTTGGGATTTTCTAGGAAGCCAGGGCACTCTGTGTGCTTAATATATACTTACATGGTTCTGGATTTCTCTACATAGCACATCTTTGAAGTTAAGTTGTGCACCTTCAGCAACACCAGGTGTTCGTTCTATATGCGTCAGTTTATTAAGCGACTCCTTACCTTGCTTGATTAGATAAGATCTTGGCAATTGTTCTCCAGCTGGTGTCATGCTCAGCTCGTGATAAGTAGCCTCACCTATAATGCTTGTATGTTACTCTGAGTGTATTACCACACCGGGCAAGCACAAAAAATGTGCTTGACCACGGTGGGTTTCGAACCTACGACCTTTGGAATACTAGCCCAATGCTCTACCAACTGAGTTACGCGGTCACAGCGGTTCGAGTAAGTGATATTTCGGAACAGGATCTAGTTCTTTCTAAACCATTGTAATCTTGTATATGACAATTTTTCTATGTTGGTGCGATGTACTCAGTTGAATACAGTATATAATGTTTGTATGTTATTCTGGGCTAGTATTCCAAAGGTCGTAGGTTTGAAACCCACTGTGGTCAGGCACATTTTTCGTGCTTGCCCGGTGTGGTAATACACTCAGAGTAACATACAAGCAATATATATTCACCTGAGTACATCTCACCATATAGAGAAAAATAGACTCACCTATACAAAACTGATCAACAACAAGCAAGACTTGCTTGATTTTATTCTGGTCCTCTTCAGAAATGTCGTTGAAACTCTTCTTAGACGCTGTTGAGTTATATGCTAAAGAGTGAGTTGACCCAGACTTGTCAAAGAAAGTTGCAGATTGTAATGTTAGACCAAAGGTTTTGGTAAACCACAAGCTCTTTTCCATGTTGACCTTCAGTTCCGTAAGTTTTCGATGTTGTTGCCTTCTGCCGACATCTTGCACTTCTTTCCCTGTATTTTTTAAATGTAGTTGAACTCCAATCTCATCAAGATAATCCCTCAGATCCATGTTTTGCTCCAACACCCTATCATATTCCTTCTGCTTATTGTTCAGGGCTATACCACTTGACCTACTGCTATAGTTTAGCACTTTTATTTCAGACCACAGTTTCTCACATCTGTCTTTCAGACTTTTATTTTCCTTGGACAGTATCTCGACTTTCTCATTTGTTCTCTTAACTTGATCCTGAAGCTGAGTCACCTTGACAATTTCACCCTGATATATTGATATTTGCTTAACGTTAAGCAAATATTCTTTCCTTGGACGGCCATTTAGTGCACGACATTTGCTGTTTACTTCCCCACAACTTCTCCTTAGGATACCGTTGATTCGTTCGTTTTCGTGTAGCTGTATTCCATGTGATGATATAAAAAAATTCAGCGCTGCAACAAGCGAATACCCTGCTATCAATGGATCCTTTCCGAGTAGATCATGAAATCGTCTTAAATGTTTGTGAGGAATACCGATAGTGAGGGCGATATCATTGTCATTCACTGCAGATTTGTTGGTAAAGCTCTTGCAAAGGTCGGAAGACAAAGAGATCTTCTGCTTGAACGAACTCAAATCAAATATATTCTTCAGAAGATCAGACATTGATTTGATTTACATTTTGATTTGCATAGAAAAGGTTTGAAGCGCATATCATTTCCCCCGTTCAAACGACAACAATACAAGACAGCAACGTTCACCAAGGTACATACATGAATATATGGTGGTATAAGCAGAGAGACCACCCTGTAGAAACACTGTTTGATCCTGTTTAACCCTTATTATCAATATTTTATCTAATAAAATGGCGTCTACTTTATATCTTCGAAGAAGAAGACAGATGTTTTGGCATGTTTTTCAGCCTTTGCGCGCAACATAATTATGCAAAACAATCATATATTTGCACAAATTTCCCTGGGTTTCAACTCTAATTTGTACGGGGTTAAATGGGTCTGATTTCTCTGAAGAAAACAAAAATATTTACAGAATAACATGTTGTTTACGGACGAAGGGCGGCAAACTTGGTACAATGTGAAATATGTGAGGAAAGGCCGCATTAAACTGTCACTTTTGACGCGAAACGGGCTATTGATATACATTTACTGTGATTTAAATGAACACAAAGTTGGCGATGAAGTGTACGTACTTAGAGGTATGTATTTAGCTGGAAATTTACATTATTAAATTTCTCTTGATTTGTTTGTGTAATATTAAGGGCGGCAAATTTTGTGCGAGAAACTAAACTCTTTCGAATTTAAAAAGTTGTCATCACTCTTATAAATTTAATAGCAATTCCGCCATGTTTGTTTAGGGAGGATTGAGCATACTCAGTGTTAATGTCTCAAATTTCTGGCCATGGGCTATCATGGCATCACGCGCTCTGTTAGACAAGTTGAACTGTGCGCTCAATAAGCGAAATTCTTTGGCTGAGAAGGTCGAAGAGCTAACGAATATCAAAATTCATGCGAGAATGATTAATGATTTTTCTGCTGCTCAAAGAGAGGGAATAAATTGCGAGATATACACATGTCAATTTAGTTACCCAAAAGCCAGGGATTGAGCTCTCATAACCATTATCCCGTCAGGTAACTACAAAGCTTTGTGAATATATTAATATCTTATTCGTTGTGATGATTTTGTGAAGTTAATTTGAATCATGAGTGGAAAATCTGGTTAAATTAATATTCATGTTTGATATGTATACAATAAGAGCATGGCGTTAGGATCAATGCACGTGTTTATATTAAAGCCGCTATTATTAATATTTTCTTGAGGCTGGTCTGCTAATAGAAATAGTACTAAGATCGTTACTGTCGTTAGAAATTTGCCTGAATCATTTCCTAAGCTTTGTCCATCTAGTTTTAATAGCTATGAGTTTATGAAACGGAGTTTGCTCTAAAATTTTGACTGTGAAATATGAAATGCTCACAATGAGAAATATGATACCACTATGCCACATGAATAACCTTAACATTATATAAGTCTAGTCAATGACTGCTGGGAGTAGAACTACCTTTAATTTACTGCAACTTCCAAATTTATCAATTTGATAAGAATATATAATCATAATCATAATAAATTTTTTAAGTATGCATTTTAAAGCCGGGAAAAATCTGCTTTGCTAAGAAAAGCCGAAAATTTTGGTAAAAAATATATCGGGAAAAGTACGCTCAAATCGCGGGAAATGGCATCTCCGGGTTTCCAGTTTCAAAAATTTTCCGGGGGGGCATGCCCGCCGACCCCCCTAGTTATGCGAGACCTAGTCAGCGATACAGTCAGATTTTCGGCCAGATCCGCCCCTGCAGTGTATGTATGTTGATCTTCATGCTTTAATAAGTCTGTATCGTGATCAACCAAATCATTTAAGACATTTATACACATAAACACACCTCCTGTAATGAGGTCTCTTTTCTAACGGCACCCACTTAAGTGTACTTAGGGCTTCCAATGCTGATGAATATAAGGGTTTGTCCAAAATAAGCTTGGCAGCCTTATTTTGGCAGCTTTTAGACTCAATGAAATGTTGCTGTGCTTTGTGGACTGAGGTCAAAGTATTTTGGAGATTCTTGGAATCAGGTTGCGTCATGCTGCTAATCCACACCACATTATTCACTCTTACACAAAATCTGTTGCTATGAGGTTGCAGATAAGCCTGCCAAGATCGCAATGGTTCACAAAGTTATAACATTTTTTTGGTATAAT